CATTTTCCAACCAAATATCCACCTCGACCTTGGTATTGAGAAAGATTGCCCTATAGCAAATAGTAAAGTAAGTAGAGTCATAGATAATTTATGGAAAGGCTGGCTTATTATATACACTGATGCCTCCAAAAAGTCAGATGAAAGTTGTACTGGAGCAGCAGTTTGGATTCCCAGATTCAAAATAATTCTTAATTTTAAATGCCCTTCTATTTCTTCCACTTTTACTGGCGAGGCCACGGCAATTCATGAAGCTTTAATATATATAGAAGCACACAACTTAAATAAGTCAGTTATTCTTACCGACTCCAAAAGTTGTTTGTTAGCAATTTTGTCAAACCAATTCCAAAGTAAATATAAGATACCCTTGATCCTCAAAATTAAACACACATTGTATAGATGTCATCTCAAGGGCATACAGGTTTCCTTAGCTTGGATTCCAGGTCATAGTGGCATCAAGGGCAATGAAACAGCTGATCTGATGGCTAAAAATGCCAGTCGAAATGGTTTGCCATGTAATTTAACTTACTCCTCAGACATAGTGTTACTTGCAAAGAAGAAGTTAAATAATAATTGGAATACATTATGGAAAGCCACTCAAAATATAAAAGGTAAACACTATGCTGCTATACAATGTGCCATCCTTCCAAAACCATGGTTTTTCAAATTCAATAAAGCTAATAAACATTCTACATCAACTATTTGTAGACTTAGAATTGGCCACGCTTGTACACCAGTACATTTGGCCAAACTGAGGATTAGGGATAGTTCCCTCTGCGAATGTGGGTTGGATGAGGGAACCTCCGACCATATTTTTTTTAACTGTCCTAAATTATCTTGTTCACTCTATGATTATCTCCCTCCTGACATCCCTCGTCCTATAAATTTTGATTCACTTTTAACCTACACAAACACTCCTTATGTATATATTCTGTGTGATTTTATTAACACTAATGGTATAAAAGTTTAATGTTTGTCAATACTAACATACTAATGTAGTTATAGCAACCGTGTTTGTCATTTGTTCTAGGTAATTCAACAGTACAACCATTTAAATTGGTTTAAAGGAAAAAAGATACTTGTACTATCACAATCTTCTCTTGTATATGGGCATAGTATTTGTAACTACTGAGCTTCTACTCAATAAACGCTTTCACGCTGACATTGGCGAATGATCAAAACCGCCATAAAAAAGAAAGAAGAAGAAGAACAACGTTTTTGCCTACCGATCGACCCTAAAGAATATGTGCGTGCGCAGTAAAATATGTTAAAATAACGCATTAACACGGATTTTGAATTTAAAAGATAAAAAGGATAGAATGTTTGAGATTTTTTAAATTAATTATTCTTCACCATTTGCCTATATTACTTATTCTGAACCTTCTCTGCAAATTTGGCCGGTGGTTGCAAAATAACCCTGAATATCCATTAACGTGACAAACTAATATCATTTATCTATTTATTATTAGTATATCTTACAATTTAATTTATATTTATAAAAGCGATAGTAATGATTTCTTATATTTACACTAATACTTAGTATTACTTTATATTATATTATAAGTTTTATTTCATGTGTAGTATTGTAATAGTAACTACACATGGAATAAAACTAACTTTATGAATTTTCTCGCGTTTAATTATAAATTTGAATTCCCGACGTTTCGGGCACTTTGCCCATGGTTATGGGGAAGACTAAAATGTTTCACGTTCTGATGTCATAGTTTACGAAGGCTACCTCCAACTTTTATTTATTAATTTTTGGTCCGATTTATGTAGAACGAGCTTACAGTATCTTGAAGTGTTGCAATAGTATGCTTGAGTTTCTGTGTGACCCATAGACATATACATCTATCCTCAATAAAGAATTAAAATGCAGATGCTTTGTCACCCGTGAGGACACCTCCTTTCGAGTAAAAAGGGTCTCTAGTTCTCTACACGCACCATACGAAACACAGCAGTGTTAAGCTGCTATTTTACGCTGGTATTCTGTGAGAGCGTGGTTCTTCTCCGGTTGAGCCGGCCCATTCGCGCTACAACTATGCTACTAATATAGCTGCAGCATGGCTCTACCGCATAAAAAATATCTAAATAACTAAATTGATGCTTCACATCAGCCATATGTTCCTTTATGCGGGTTTTAATTGACCTTTCTTGTGTCCTATGTAAGTGAAACCACATTCACAACCAAGCTTGTACACTCCTGCATCTTGTAGACGGATATTACACTTGATGGATGGTAAGAACTGACTAATCTTCTTTGGCAGCTTGTAATATGTTCTTATTAAAGCCCACTTCAAGATGTAACCAATCTTGTCTGTGACTCTTTTGACGTATGGTAATACATACCTTCGTTAAGTCATCATCATCATTCATCATTACAGCCTTTCATAAGTCCACTGCTGAACATAGGCCTCCCCCAAGGAATGCCACAAAGCACGGTCCTGAGCCACCTGCATCCATCGACTTCCTGCATGCCTTACCAGGTCGTCACTCCATCTCGTGGGGGGTCGCCCTACACTTCGCCTACCGGTACGAGGCTGCCACTCGAGAACCTTTCTTCCCCATCGGTTGTCGGTTCTTCGAGCTATATGGCCGGCCCACTGCCACTTCAGCTTACTAATCCGTTGGGCTATGTCGGTTACTCTAGTTCTACTGCGGATATCCACATTTCTAAGTTTATCACGCAGAGAAACCCCGAGCATAGCCCTCTATAGCTCGCTGAGCGACCTTGAGCTTCCTCATACGGCCAGCTATGAAGGACTACGTCTCAGTTCCGTAAGTCATCACTGGCAACACGCACTGGTTGTACAATTTCGTTTTAAGGTTTTGAGGTATGTCTGACGAGAAAATGTGTCGTAGCTTCCCGAACGCTGCCCAGTCGAGTAGAATCCGTCGATTGACCTCTCGGTCGAAGTTGGACTTACCTAGTCGTACTATTTGTCCCAGGTAAACATACTCGTCTACAACTTCGAGCTTAGTGCTCCCAACAACTACCGGCATAGGTGTGACATGGACATTAAACATAATCTTTGTTTTGTCCATGTTCATCTTAAGACCTATCCGTTGGGAGACACTATTGAGGTCATTGAGCATAGTGCTTAGGTCCTCCAGCGATTCTGCCATAAGGACTATATCGTCGGCAAATCGAAGGTGAGTGATGTACTCGCCATTGATATTGATACCGTATCCTTTCCAGTCCAGAAGCTTGAAAACGTCTTCCAATGCAGCGGTGAAGAGTTTCGGGGATATGACGTCACCCTGTCTTACACCTCTCTGCAATTGGATAGCTTTCGTACTCTGGTTCTGTACTCGGATAGCCATCGTAGCTCTACTGTACAAACACTTCAACACTTCGAAATACCGACAGTCAACTTGGCACCGCTGAAGGGACTGCAGCACCGTCCAAATTTCGACGGAATCAAAGGCTTTCTCATAGTCCATATACGCCAGACATAGTGGCAAATTGTACTCTTCGGACTTCTGTACAATTTGCCGAAGGGTATGTATGTGGTCTATGGTGCTAAAGCCCTTTCGGAAACCGGCTTGTTCGGGAGCCTGGAAGTTGTCAAGTCTGCGCGCGAGACGATTCGTAATGACTCTCGAAAACAGCACGTAGACGCGGCTCAGAAGGGAAATCGGTCTGTAGTTCTTCAAGAGAGCGTTATCGCCTTTCTTGAATAACAAGACCACCGCACTTCTGCTCCACGCCTCCGGAGTAGTGCCACCATGGAGGACGGAATTAAAGAGCTTCTGAAGGACTTCAAGGACCGGTCTTCCACCCGCTTTCAGAAGCTCCGCTGTAATTCCATCCTCGCCTGGGGCCTTACCGTTTTTAAAGTGCTGGAGTGCCATTCTAGTCTCGCTCAGACTGAAGTCCGGGATATCTTCGGAATAGTGTCGGATGAGACTCGCTCTTGGATCGTTACTCACACTTGCGTGTGGCTCCAACGATGACGTGTACAGCTGCCCATAGAACTTCTCAATCTCACTCAAAATCTCAGGTGTCCCGGAAACGATGCTTCGTTAAGTATGACATCAAAAACCTGGGCCCCCCCCCCCCCCTCTCGTGGCCATGAGCGCTGTAGTGTCCGTAACATCGGGAATTAAAAAAGTTAATATTAAACGCGATAAAATCAGTAATGTTAGTTTTATTCCAAAATTACTGTCGCAGTAGCCTAAAGGCGGGATGCACATCGCAAACTCAAAAGTTTGCAGGTTTGAATGCGCCATGTGATTACTGTCGTGAACCACTCCTAACACAGGCATTTTAAGGCCTTAACAGTGGTTGAAATGCCTAAATCGTGGATATTTAAGTAAAAAATCTCAATAACTGTTCATTTAATCCACACAGAAAAAATACAAGGTAACAGAAGAGGATTTGGTAAATGTTTTTAATTGAACAAAATGGTATTTTTGTCAACCCCTTATTAGAAAAAAAATCCCCAAAGACTACCTATCTTTGTCATATTTTGCAAAATTTCTCCAAAACGGCACAAGCTTTTTAAATAATTCTTACACTTAAAAAAAAAGGTCTTAAAAATATTAATATTGTTAATTGAGAGTTTTATTTTTTTACCCTTTTTATAAGAGAATATATAGTTTTTCCCTGAAATTGAATATATTTACGCGAGCGCGCATGCTCCGTCGCCCTGTCGCAGTCCGTTTTCGGACATCGTCGAGAGTGGACCGAGCGTCGGTGTTGGAGCGACTTCGTTCATCACCACATTACACGGTAGGTTATTCGTCAATCACAACCGTGATTGTTGTAAAACTGACAGCAAAACCTACCGTGTAATGGGTGTCATAAGATTATCAGGCAGAAGTGGTTAAAGGAAAATATTAGCAATATGCGAATATATCTGTGGAAAAGTAGATATTGTACTTAAAATAAACTAAATTAGGTCGTCAATAGTAACTATGTGTATAATAATGCTTCTGTAAATTATATGTCTCAAGATTACAATTTTGTTCTTTCTTTGAAGAATAAATAACTGTTTCAGGTTCTAGGCGCTGTAGGAACTTTGCCGGGAATATTCGTGAAGCTTGAAGTTTCCTATCATTTGCTTAAACGTCTCCTTGGAGTTCGCACAGAAGGAGATAAGAAAGCAGCTAAAGTGCAGAAACTGACTAGGCATGAGGTATGTTCCATCAATATGTAAACTATCCACAACTAACAAGATGATATAAAAATATAAGAAACTTTTAAGAATGCTTGATAAGGACTATCTATTATTTATATAATAGCCCATGTTAAATAGATTACACTACAGTTTGGTTAATAATTTTTTTTAATAATAATCTACTTTTGCTTTCAGATGTTGCTTGTTAACATTGGTTCATTAAGTACTGGTGGAAGAGTTATTGCCACTAAAGCTGATTTAGCTAAAATCGCCCTCAACAACCCTGTATGTACTGAAATAGGAGAAAAGGTGGCTCTTAGCAGAAGAGTAGAAAACCATTGGCGGTAAGTTTGATTTTTTTTAATTATAAATAAAAGTAAAATCCTATTTAAGTAAATACTTCGACTTCGCCTTTTACGGCTTTACCAAAGTAAAGAATAAATTCTAATTTCTTCCCTGCTTTTGCAGGTTAATTGGTTGGGGTCAGATACAAGGAGGTGAGACCATAGACCCCGTGAAGAATTGAAGCTGTTAAGAAAGCCTTTATATATTTATCTATTGTCACATATTTAATAAAAATATAAATTACAAAATACCTTTTATACATTACAAAACACCTTTTCTGATTTAGCAGAAAATAATTCCATTAGTTAATTTTTTTTTGAAACTAATTTAAATTATTGTTGCTTAGAAATAGTTTTTACGTTGTAGAGCCATGCTGCAGCAATACTATGATTGTAGAACAAATGAGTCGGCTCGATCGAGAAAGGACCACGCTCTCACAGAATACGAGCGTGAAATAGCAGCTTAATGCTGCCGTGTGTAGTATGGTGTGTGTTCTCTACACTACTGGAGACCCTTTTTATTGGTAACGACGCATTCCAACTTTGTCCTTAGGGAAGATAACGCATCTGCATTTTTATATATGCAGGTGTCTATGTAGTCCATAGACCTGCATCTTTAATCATCAAGCATTCACTTAACACCAGGTGGATTGCGTGTTCGTCTCAAAATCAAATATCGACTGGGAGGTGGTACCGCACCTGTTAGAAACCTATGCTATAAAGCAATAAGATCACTAAAGAAATTGCATCATATTATTACCTTTTCTTACCTAATCTAAGCTTCGACTAAAAACATGAGTTGGTCATTAGTGTTGACCGAATTGCTTACACGCACCGGTAATTTATAAACTCCGTCAGATTACTCATAGATCAGATTTCGACTCTGAGCCGACTCATTGACCAGTGTGTTTTGGCTTACGATATATGAGCTTGATACTGTTCTCGGTCTCGCGAGGTTTCTCGCAGTCGCTAGTTTGAAGCTCGGGCAGATCGTCCCCATCCATTGATAACTAGGCCGAGACTCAAACTTTGAACTTGATAGACTTCTTACGCTGCGATCTTTTCTCCTTTTTACTAGGTAGGCAAGCCCATGGAATAGTTTAGTCGCTCCCGGATATATTCGGTTCAGCCATGAGCTCCTATTATTTTTGAACTCCACTCTCTCTTAATAATTTCGAAATATAAACAGATTTCATAGTGAGGGAAGTTAATTTGTTAGAAAAGTGTAGAGAATAATGTTTCTTTCTGAAATATTATCTAGTTATACTTTATACTAATTAGATTTGAAATGGATAAACCACGGATATTCCTAAAAGTATAAAAGTGTAAAAAATTAAAGAATACAAACTTAGGCATTATTTCGTGTTTAACTAGAAACCGAAAAACATTTAAAATGCAACTTTTTAATAATTATGACACAGGTTCACCTTAGTCTCCACTAGCGACATCTGTTGAGCGTAAGATTATTAGTTTGCTGGCTCATGGTGCGAACTAAGGGGTGGTAGATTTTACGCCGCTACCATACGACGAGGAGCCGAGTCTATCCTTTCGGCTTTGTTGCTCGTTTAGCATCACCCGAGGGACACGTCTAGGGTGGAGCCTAGGGTTAGGTGGTCGAAGCCTACGGACGCGAGCGACTCATCCCCCAAATTTATTAGTCTTAATTAAAATACAATCAAATAGAATAATGCTTTGTTAAATGTAGTGTCTGTACTGATAAGGAGTCTACGCCACCATGGTCCTAACCCGGATATGTTTGTTACGCTCATAACGATTGCGATCGACCGATGAAATAATGTAAGAAATATTCATCGTCCTCACTCCCGCGCCCTAGTATCTAGAATACAAGGGCGCATTTAATACCTTATGGCATTGTCTACCAGTCAACTCTGGATGATTTGAGAAACTGTGTTTATTCCTACATAAACAACCACTTTATTAATTTAATAAATACCTAAGTAATAAAGATTTAAGGTACAACAGCAAAAGCAAATAAATAGAATATATTTAGTAATAGTAACCCTGATATATATACTTAATATCTACTATCAGGGTGTTTGTGAAACGCTCCCGAAAACGAAGGCAGACGATACTACTAACGATACCTTTGATGATGGCTTAGAAAGAAAACATCCCGAGGAAATAAAAATCATCTTTTCACAACGTCTTCATCATGTCAGTTAGTACAGCTAAATGAAACGATAATTTCATAAAAAAATCATGAAAATACTTAATACATCATAAACATAAAACCAGCAATGGATTTTAAAATGAATAAATCAGCTGACAATAGAGACAATACTCTCGCGAACGCCGAATTCGCGCGGCCTGCAGTTAGCGATCGTACCAATACCTAATAATTTACAACACTTGTCGAAATACCTAACTTATCTACTTAACCTACTAATTTGCCACTGTGCTTGTCTCCACCTAGCCACTTTAATTCGAATTCACACGAACCAAATACCTGGTTCGATTCCCCGCTAATGAAAAATTTACTTAAATGAAATGTTAACAAGGATAGAGTCATGCTTTTTTATCCATCGTGTAGGCATGTTTATTATTCTGATGTATTCAGTTATATATCTATTCACATCAGTTCAGTACTACGTTATTTAAAAAAAAATAGGTATGAAACAGCTTACCGATCTAAATCCTCCATAGCCTTATGAGATTCTCCAAGGGGCATTAACATGTTGCCGTATTCACGAGCACTATAAACGTACGTATTAGGCATTATTAAAACAACAAGAATTTAATAAACAAAACGATTGAACTGTCACTCACGCGCACGTGATAGTCAACACGAAACTATCTCGAAACCTAAAATTAGTAATCAATCCCGCCAAAACAAATGCAAATGCCTACCGCTAAGTGCGTGCGTCCTAACGTTAAACCGTTACGACATTGCCAACTTTTATTTTATAAGTTTAGTTATCCCTACGACTAGTCCAAAGAATACCTTTGTATAAACCGAAAGGACTAGTCTTCGTATGGAATTTAGAAGTTATATTTGTCATTTTTAATACAATTAGACAATCAATTGTACCCTGACGCAACAAGCAGCTCGTTACTACAAAAATGATATTGAAATTAATAAACGTATACCTATTTGGTACTCACACAGTTATAAACACTATTTCATCATTATCTTTGATTTTGTACAAGAAAATAGAAATGAAATGGTACTGAATAATTTAATAGTTAAAATCAATTGCAATTATGATCGACAGTTAATTATTCTATCATAATTAATCTAAAAAAATATTATTTTACTACTTAATTGTCTTTCCGTTTTTAATCCGTCCAATACTTTGAATTTAAAAAGAGGTACGACAAAACTATTCAAAATTACTTGCAAGTTTTATTGTAATAATTCTTATGTCACCTGCAAACAAATCTTAGTAGGTAAATTTTGGTACAACATGGCATGTGTAAATTGCACAGTGTGAGGGGACACGAGTCGGCGGGGCGGCGGCAGCGCGTGTGTGAAAGGGAAGAGTAGAGTGAGTAGTAATACCAAATGCATTGTTTCGTACCGAGCTAGATAAAAGAGTTCGGCGTCCGCGCGAATATTGATCCTTGTCGGCTGATTTATTAATTTTAAATTCCACTGCTGGTTTTATGTTTAAGTATTTTCATGATTTTTTTTTTATGAAATTGTTTCATTTAGCTGTACTAACACGATGGAGCGTGAATAAAGCTAATAAAACGTGGGAAAAAATGATATTTTTTTTCCTCGGAATTAATGTTCTTTCTGACCCATCATCAAAGGTATCTTTAGTACTATCATCTGTCTTCATTTTCGGGAGCGTTTCACAACCACCTGTATAATAAACAATGAATATTAAATATAAAAACGGGTACTTATATACGAAATCTTTAAATAAATAAAACAATATACCTAATACAAAAATAAACTAACAATACACATCAAAACCATATTATACAAAAACTATACTAATATAATAAAGCGGAAGAGTTTCTTTTTTGTTTGGTTAACACGCTAATCTGGGCGGATTTTTTAAAAGGAGTACCTAAGTTAAAATGAAGGTCCTAATTTTTTATGCATTTTTTTCAATATGTGTCGTTGAATTCATAAAATATATTAATTAATTTTAAAGAAACTGTATAATATATTTGAATAACTGCTATAAATTAATTATAATAAGTTAATGAAATTCATTAAGTGAATTTTGGGTTCCACTGAATAACAATTTAATACTTTTTTTTACTTCTGACAGCGGAATTAAAAATGAAAATAATTGTATATTTATATCCTCTAACTTGTTGACTAATCAGTTGCTTGTTTTTCTTTGTAACTATTTAAATAGCCATTTATTACTGTTTTGTCAAATAATTTTACGGAATAACGAACTTGTTGTTTTCATAACAAAAATTAAATTATTATCAGTTAGAACACGAAAGTGAAAAAATCCCTTACTTTTGGATTTTTATTAGTGGGACAGTTAATCATTGGTACGTTGAAGATCAGTCAGTGGAAAAGTAAGGTCTCTGATTACAATGAAGGATTTTTTTGCCAACTTTATTTTCTTTACAAACATATTGCATGCCGAGCGCAAAGCGCATACCTAGGTATGTTCTACTAGCGCCTAAAAATCAAGATTCCAACGTTTTGTCGCATGAAATCGTATCCAGCAATCATATTATACATATAAATGATATAAAAATCACATTGAAATGATTCTTAAACTTATTAATATTTTTTTTTAAATCGATTAATTGCTATTTTTACATAAAAAGGGGTTTTAGTGGCTTATGGTGTGGATTTATTAAATCCTCAAGGCTTGTAAACACGATAACTTTTGAAAATGTCAATTGTTTAACTCAATCTATTTTTTAATCTCTTCATCTATCATGTGGGAAGCCACTGAATGTAATTGGCAGTGTAATTTTGTTTTGTTTAGCTATAATTAACTTTTTTCGGCTCCATAATGGCAAAATTTTCGGTGATTTCGCAGCCTTGTGTTAGAATTTATTTCAATAAACAGAGACTGCCTGTGCCTCGCTCACTCGCTAGCTTAGTTCGGCGTTCCTGTAGTGGATACTGTATTGGTTGCACGCGTAGTGTTTCTATATAGTTTGTGATTGGTTGTTTGCAGCGGCTCAAAAAGATCGCTGTACAAATATTCGAAAAACAAATTTCATACATACTTGATTATTATAATGATCAGAGATTTTTATGACAATATTTTAAAAGCACAATAAATAATAGTAGTACGTA